TCTAACATATTCAACTGCCTGCGTCATCAATCTGTTCCCTCTGCCAAGGACAAGCGGCAAGAGGAATCAAAACAGGAGAAAGACACAACACATCACGCAGAAAACCCTGAAGAATTATCACTGCACCCGCCTGAGGAATGTTCTGATTATGGGAGACATATGAGACACATGGAGGAGTCTCCACTGCCCCCCCCCCCCCCTGTCAACGCCTTTGAGGATACTCCGTTCACCCTTTCACCCTCGCCCACCCTCCTGGAGATCGATGAACACACAAAGGAGATACAGAGGGTTGGCACCGATTCCTTCCTGGAGTTCAAAGACCAAACGAAGGCGATACGCAGGGCTGGCACCATGTCCTTTACCCCCGCTCCTCAACGACGCCCACCAAAATCACCGCGGAGACGCGCACCATCTCCCCCGTCCTCATCACCGCGCCTACGTCAACCACCTCCCCCCCCCTGGCAGCATGTCCTCTACCCCCGCACCATCTAGCCCGTCTCCATCACCGTGCCTACGTCGACCACCTCCCCTCCCTTCGAGGGGGCTTCTGCAGTCTCCGAAGCCTGATAAGGATGTGTGTGTACAAAACACAACAAACTCTTACTGATATGTGATGGGTCCAGGCTCAAGGGCGTATGGCACTCTCAACTCTTTCCAGGACATGTCGGGGCCCTGCCTGCCAGTAGCTTTGCCGATATCTGTGTTGATAGGTAATAGATTAAGAGCGGTGAATCATAGAAACAGGAAGCGCTCAAACGTTTGTGTGAGTGTATCTAATTTAGCAGTGATTCCATGTCAGCCACAGCTTGTTACAAAACACATGACTGATAGTGTGTTTAACAAACTTAAACTAGCTTTATTAAATGTCAGGTCTTTGGCAGGAAAAACATTTTTAATCAATGATTTTATCACTGAGCACAATCTCGATTTTATGTTTTTAACAGAAACTTGGATTGAACAAAATAACAGTGCAGCTGTTCTTATCGAATCAACCCCTCCCAACTTTAGTTTTATGAGTCAGGAAAGAATGCATAAGAAAGGGGGTGGAGTTGCTATTCTGTTCAATGATTCCCTTCAATGCAGGAAGACATCGTATGGAAACTTTGATTCTTTTGAATATGTGGCCCTTCGGCTGAAATGCTCCTCTCGAGCTCTGTTCCTAAATATCTATAGACCACCCAAATACTGTGCAAGCTTTTTTGATGACTTTACTGAACTGCTGTCTATAGTGTGTATTGACTTTGACCGTCTAGTCATTGTTGGTGATTTTAACATCCATGTTGACAACCCCCAGGACAGAGGGGCTAAAGAACTGTTTTGTGTTCTTGATAGCTATGGACTGACTCAGCATGTGACGGAGCCCACGCACAATAAGGGGCACACTCTGGACTTAATTATCTCAAAGGGTCTGAATATCTCTAAGGTTGTGGTGACTGATGTTGCACTCTCTGACCATTCCTGTGTTTTCTTTGAGAGCTCTATTTCTGTTCACAAAAATGTTCAAAAAGAGATAACCACAAAGCGATTTAACTGTTTAACTGAAAATACTAGGGAAATGTTTACTCAGAATTTCTCTTCCACACTTGCCCCTGCCAACATCTCAGTAAATGAGCTAGTAGATCATTTTAATTCAAAAATTAAAAATGTTATAGATGCCATTGCTCCAACTAAGGTAAAGGAAGTGTCTGGCAAGAAAATATCTCCATGGAGAAAGGCCATGACCGTGAAAACAGAAAAAAGAGAATGTCGAAAAGCTGAACGCAGGTGGCGAAAAACAAATCTCCAGGTTCACTTTGAAATCTATAAAGAGAGACTTGGCCTTTATAATTTGGAATTGAAAAACGCACGACAATCGTTCTTCTCTGACATCATTACCAAAAACAAAAACAACGCACGTGCCTTGTTTGCTACCGTCGACAGACTAACTAACCCCCCAGTGTCAGTAGCCTCTGAATTTCTATCCACCAGGGTGTGCAATGATTTTGCCTTCTTCACTGACAACATTCAGAAAATCAGACAAGCAGTCAGTGCCTCTGCATCAGGAACAGCAGATGTGTTGTCCCTATCTCCACTTAACATCAATTCAGACATCATGACACAATTCCATCAGATTAATGATAAAAACCTAGAGGACATTATTCAACTTCTGAAATCCTCCTCCTGCTGCCTTGATATTATTCCAACAGGATTTTTCAAAGATGTTTTTCCTTGCATGGCCTCAGATCTACTTCATATAGTAAACACATCTCTTCACTCAGGTATTTTTCCACAGGCCCTGAAAACTGCAGTCATTAAACCGCTCTTAAAAAAGAATAATCTAGATGCTTCAGTAATGAACAATTACAGGCCCATATCAAACCTCCCATTTCTAGGTAAAATCATTGAAAAAGTTGTTTTTCAACAGTTGAGTAATTTCTTGCATTTAAATAACTGTTTTGATGTGTTCCAGGCAGGCTTTCGTCCAAACCACAGCACTGAGACTGCTCTTGTAAAGGTCTTTAATGACATCCACTTAAACACAGACAGTGGCAGAACTTCAGTGTTAGTATTATTAGATCTCAGTGCTGCGTTTGACACTGTTGACCACAACATATTACTAGACCGACTGGAGAACTGGGTGGGACTTTCGGAAACAGTTCTGAATTGGTTTGAATCCTACTTAAAGGACAGAAACAACTTTGTTTCTAAAGGTAAATACACATCTGAGTTGACAAATATGACATGTGGGGTTCCTCAAGGCTCCATCTTGGGGCCTCTTCTCTTTAACGTCTACATGCTACCACTGGCTCAGATAATGAAGAACAACAAAATAAGTTACCATAGCTATGCAGATGACACACACATTTACGTGACAATTTCACCAGGAGACTATGCTCCAATTCAAACACTGAGTAAGTGCATTGAACAAATCAATGACTGGATGTGTCAGAACTTTCTCCAATTAAACAAAGATAAAACTGAGGTAATGGTTTTTGGAGCCAAGGCAGAACGTATAAAAGTTAGCGCTGAGCTTCAGTCTGCAATGTTCAAAACAACAGAGAGCCAGAAATCTAGATGTAGTCATGGACTCTGACCTGAGTTTCAACAGTCACATTAAAACAGTTACTAAATCAGCCTACTATCACCTAAAGAACATATCTATGATTAAAAGACTAATGTCACAGCAGGATTTGGAAAAACTTGTCCATGCTTTTATCTTCAGTAGACTCGACTACTGCAATGGTGTCTTCACAGGTCTCACTAAAACATCTATTAGGAAGCTGCAGCTGATTCAGAACGCCGCTGCTCGAGTCCTCACTAACACTAAGAAAGTGGATCACTCCTGTTCTGAAGTCTTTACACTGGCTTCCTGTGTGTCAAAGAATAGATTTCTAAATACTGCTGCTGGTTTATAAAGCACTGAATGGTTTAGGCCCAAAATACATTTCTGACCTCCTGCTAAATGATGAAGCATCCAGATCTCTCAGGTCTTCAGGGACTGGTCAGCTTTCTGTCCCCAGAGTCAGAACTAAACATGGAGAAGCAGCGTTCAGTTATTATGCTCCAAATATCTGGAACAAACTCCCAGAAACCTGCAGGTCCGCTGCAACTCTTACTACTTTTAAATCCAGGCTGAAGACTTTTCTTTTTGTCGCTGCTTTTAATTGAACTATTCATATCTTAGACTGCACTGTAACTTTTATCCATGTATTTTTTCTTTTAATGTTTATTTTTATTAGCTTTTCTTTTTAATGACTGATTTTAAATGCCATTTTCTTAATCTCTTTCATTTTTTGTAAAGCACTTTGAATTGCCTTGTGTTGAAAAGTGCTATATAAATAAACTTGCCCTTGCCTTGATGTTTGAAATTGGTATGCCATGAATTTAGTGATGGATTGTAAAACATTTGAAATGTAGCATTGAAGTGTTTCTCATGTTGTTGTAATAAATCAGACTCTGATGGTGCAGCGCTGCGCTCTACCTCTTTAGAGGCTGTTTGTCCCTAACCATTGTTTCTGCGCTGATCAGGGACTTGGCTGCATTTTACATTCTAAGTCTGTCGGTAAAATGCTGATTGTGTAGCAGGTTGTGTAGCAGGTTTTGTAGCAGGTTGTGTAGCAGGTTTTGTAGCAGGTTGTGTAGCAGGTCGTGTAGCAGGTTGTGTAGCAGGTTTTGTAGCAGGTTGTGTAGCAGGTCGTGTAGCAGGTTGTGTAGCAGGTTTTGTAGCAGGTTGTGTAGCAGGTGGTGTAGCAGGTTGTGTAGCAGGTCTTGTAGCAGGTGGTGTAGCAGGTTGTGTAGCAGGTTGTGTAGCAGGTGGTGTAGCAGGTCGTGTAGCAGGTCGTGTAGCAGGTGGTGTAGCAGGTTGTGTAGCAGGTTGTGTAGCAGGTTGTGTAGCAGGTCGTGTAGCAGGTGGTGTAGCAGGTTGTGTAGCAGGTTGTGTAGCAGGTCGTGTAGCAGGTCTTGTAGCAGGTGGTGTAGCAGGTTGTGTAGCAGGTTGTGTAGCAGGTTGTGTAGCAGGTGGTGTTGTAGCAGGTTGTGTAGCAGGTCGAGTAGCAGGTAGTGTAGCAGGTGGTGTAGCAGGTTGTGTAGCAGGTGTAGTAGCAGGTGGTGTAGCAGGTGGTGTAGCAGGTGGTGTAGCAGGTGTGTAGCAGGTGGTGTAGCAGTTGTGTAGCAGGTCTTGTAGCAGGTGTGTAGCAGGTGTGTAGCAGGTTGTGTAGCAGGTGGTGTAGCAGGTTGTGTAGCAGGTCTAGCAGGTGTGTAGCAGGTTGTGTAGCAGGTTGTGTTGTAGCAGGTGGTGTAGCAGGTTGTGTAGCAGGTGGTGTAGCAGGTTGTGTAGCAGGTCGTGTAGCAGGTCGTGTAGCAGGTCGTGTAGCAGGTCGTGTAGCAGGTCGTGTAGCAGGTTGTGTAGCAGGTCGAGTAGCAGGTCGTGTAGCAGGTTGGTCGATGTGTGGTGGGAGGGCGGGATGAAGCTGATAAGAGGTTTGCTGGCCTTTAAAAACGTAAGGACGAGCACACAGTGTGCAGAGAGACCAGCATCAGGACTACAGGTAATACTGCTCTGTTCATCATAATAATATTCAAATGTTCCTGTCATTTTGCTCAGAACAGCGTTTGAACAGCGTCTGCCACATATGACTCAGGAAGAAAAGAAAAGACTCTGAACCCTTTCTTTGCCATTATATAAAAATAGTGTTGCTACAAAATTATAAATGAGGCTTACTAATAAGACGACTCAGATCTGAAGCTACACAGGAATCTGCTGCCAACGTGCAATAAATAAGACAACATTAATAGAATCAAACCCTTTTTTTGTTGCATTTTAGTAGATTATAAAAAGAAATGCCTTTTAAAATAGGATGCAAGCAACACTAGTTTCTGAACCTGAATTGATGATAGACTATAATCAATTTAAGTTTGCATTCTTATACCATTTTGTACAATAATTATAATGACTAAGTTCAAACAGCTTACAGCTGATTAATAACGGTATCTAACTTGAGTTTTTATTATATCAAAAACCTGTTGAAATGCTTCTGTTATTTTTACTGTCCCCAAAAAGCGCGTCGGCAGCCTCCAGGAATGCTTCTTTCACAACTTCGCCCTCTTTGAAAGACTTCATGTGTTTCTCAAGAACGTGACTGACCCGATAAGATGCTCTGGTAGCAGCCTTGCTCTTGTTGTTGGGCCTGGTGAAAATGGACTGCTGTGCATTTAGCTGTCCTCTCAGGCCCCTCCCCTTTTGGAGCGTAGGGCAGAATTAGGAGGGAGTTCCGTCTCGTAGCGTTTGTGCACTGTTTTGAAATGCCGCTCCTAAATTACCCTTCTTCGATAAAGCCACGCTCGCATTGCAGATGAGACAGATGGACTTTGAATTGGAATAGATACAAAAATAATCATCCTCCCACTCGGAGTGAAAATTATATATGTTTTGCTTCTGCCATAATTGCGGTCTTGTGTGTGTGCGGACTGTCACTCCTGTTGACACGGACAACGTTAGCGAACTAGTGCACTGCCCACTGCCCACCAGCGACGCCCCGACACAGGGGTCACGCCGGCCAATCACAAAGCTTTGATGCGTTCAAGTGCATTATTCTGGCACAGGAAGATTATGTTACAGGACATTAACGATAAAACAGAATATTGTTGTTCTATTTTTAGACACATCTCACGGTCGACTGGTTGGGCACCCCTGGTCTAGCAGCAGTATTCCCATTTGATCAAACATTTATTTTGGGTCTCAACAACCGGCATGTTTGCTCAATGTGTTGCTCATGTTTGTCACTGTGTTGCTCATGTTTGTCACTGTGTTGCGATGGCGTGTTGCACATGTGAGGAAAAGCTCAAGCTAATTGCAATACAAACATCTGGATGCCAGCTACACACAGTGAGCTGAGAGCATGTTCTATAGACTCTGTATTGAGTATGTTAGTCGCTTTGGATAAAAGCGTCTAACAAGTAACATGTCATGTAGCTGTGGTGTGGTGTACACCATTTTTAAACTTAATGTAAGATTTACATTCAACTTTAAGACAAAGTCACTCATATATTGTGCCAATTAAAGCCAATGATTCTTATTGTAAGCTTTCTTTGCTAATTATAAATCTAATTTAAGAAGTACATTCTTAGTCAACTCAACCAGAACACTCACTTGAAGTTCTTCTTTCTTAAATAATGCAGGAATCATTGCTTGTAATAAGCATGTGTGTCTAGTCCCAAGGCCCGTTCCGGTCTTTCAGTCGCTAGATTTTAATCCTAGTTTTAGGAATCCTAGCCGAGCTAATGTGGCGCTCCCCATTGGCTGATTGTTTTGCTTGATACAGGAACATCTGACTTGATTCAAGAATATGTAGCTTGTTTTTGGAAGGGCTGTTTCTGCAGTGTGTGGGAGCTTTCCACACCATCGATATGTGTGTTTTGAAGGTTAAGAGATACAAAGTAAATGGAAACCCAGTTCAAACAAACACCAGTATTCGTCCGTCTTGTTGACTGTAACACCCTCTCTTGTAGCATATCAAGGACTCCACTAAAGTGACTCTTTGTCCCATGCAACCTGATGTGATGATGACTAGCATTCTTGCAAGCATAATAAAGACATCCTGATATTGAAGATCAAGCCGGTGACCAGTGACATGTTTCTAACATGTTCATCTTCCACAGCTCCTGCAGCCATGGCCTCCTGTTCTCCGCTCCTGCTCCTGGTCCTGGTCCTGTGCGCTCTGACAGTGGCTGAAGCCCAGCTCAAGGTGTTTGACCTGCGGGCCAGCAAACTTGATTCAAGCTTTCTGGGATCCCCGGATGGCTATGTCAAGATTTTCTACGGATCTACCCCTCTGGGTGAAACATCAGTTCGCGACAACGACCAAAACCCCTGGTGGGAGGAAGAGTTCACTTACTTCCACGCCCGAGAGTATGGCGTGATGAGGCTTGAGGTTTATGACGAGGACTTCGGGTCCGATGAGCTGCTTGGAGTCTGCCGGCGGATAATTAAGCTGGGAACCCATGAGCATGAATGCGTTCTTGAAGAAGGTGGCACCCTTCATTACACCTACTCCTTCGTCTAACTCAGTCAGTAACACTTCAAAGATGTATCCGACCATAAGTCTTTACATGCAGCCTTTGATTCTCTCTCACTGGCTCTGAGAAACAAACAAATACATTTGCAAAATATGTTGTTCTGGTGACTGCCATCGAGCAGCTTTGGCTACTCTTCCCTGTTTCAAAGGTGATTAACAACAAATAAAGAGTGCTGAACAACTCAATGGGTTTCATGTCATTCATCATGATATTACGAGTATATAAATGAATGATTCCATATGTTCCATGTCTAACATTCAAAACATGTTCTTAGATATAAATACCAAATGTTTTGTTATTTAGACTCAATTAACACTTATAGTTTCATGTCTTGTTACATAAGAATAGATCATATTTGTTAAGTGTTATTGTGGGAGACTATTCTTGTGGTACTGCTGCCTTATTAGGCCCATATTGAGCAGAGACCAAAACTCATGTTCAACAACTTCCTTACTTGCAATAAATCAGCACTAATTAGAGGGTTATTGAGGAAAAACTCTCAACTAATGGCTTATTACTTGGAGAATATGGTCATGCAGAATAAGGCATTAATAAGTGTTTTATAATGGCTAATAAAGAGCTAATATACTGATAATATGCATGTTAGTTAACAACTAGTTGATGGTTAATTTGTGTACCTTAATATAAGTGTTAGCAAAAGTTCTTTAGCCTTCCCAAACCTGAGCCTCACACGCCGCCTACGTGTTTAGCGTGGTTCTACAATCAGAGAGTTACAAGGGTCTGTAAATGCAAGGAACACAATTGGCCACAGCATTTATATTAAAGTTAAATATGTTTACACATATAATTCATCAAAACAGAGCTACATTCGATTGAAAAGGTATACGTGGTCAAATGAAGAGCCGTTTGGGAACCGGAAGAGCCGGCTCTTCTTGGTGAGCCAAATGATTCCCATCACTACCACACACATATGGGGCGAAGCCTGCGAGCTAGTTCAGGCAGACAACTCAAGCACCAATCATACGTTAACACCTGACGCGCCTCGTCCCTCTTACAACCAACCAAACGCATTCTTCTAAACATGCCGCTCTATTTACGTTTTGAGCTGGATTCTGTTTTCTGTCACAAGACTTTTTCTGATGATTTAAATCTGTAGGTAACTTTAAAGCTTGTAAGCTTTTAGGTTTGAATGGTTCATAAGAATATAGACCCTCAAAGTGACCACAATGAAGCGTGACCAGAAAGAGACAGAATGAGCACCAAGGGACTGAGTTACTACAGAGAGACGTACAAACACCACCTGCTGATAAAGGACAACACAAAGAGGCGGAGCTGCTTTGAAGCAGAGCTTTTCAAAGTGTCTCTTACCTGGCACTCGCCTGAAATAAGGTCTATTTCATTACTGAACAGAGCGTCAGCATCTTCTGCAACTCTGAGGAACATGAACCAGGTTACTGGACATGGTGCACATTTCCATATATGGTCAGGGCCGCCCCTGGCCAACTTGGGGCCCCAAGCGACATTGTGAGATGAGGCCCCCCCCCCCCAACCGACAGGAGTGAAACACATTTTTTGGAAACAAAGTAGGCTACTTTGCAAATATAATTCCTGTTTATTGTTATTATCAACAGTTACTTTTGTATACAGTGAGGTAAATGGATCGATCTATCTATCTATCGATCTATCTATCTATCGATCTATCTATCTATCTATCCATCCATCGATCTATCTATCCATCCATCGATCTATCTATCTATCGATTGATGGATCTATCTATCTATCTATCTATCTATCGATGGATCTATCTATCTATCTATCTATCTATCTATCTATCGATCTATCTATTGATCTATCTATCCATCTATCGATCGATCTATCTATCGATCTATCTATCGATCTATCGATCGATCTATCTATCGATCTATCTATCGATCTATCTATCTATCGATCTATCTATCGATCTATCTATCTATCTATCGATCTATATATCTATCTATCGATCCATCTATCTATCTATCTATCTATCGATCGATGGATCTATCTATCTATCTATCTATCTATCTATCGATCTATCGATCTATCTATTGATCTATCTATCGATCTATCTATCTATCTATCGATCTATATATCTATCTATCGATCCATCTATCTATCTATCTATCTATCGATCGATGGATCTATCTATCAATCTATCTATCGATCTATCTATCTATCTATCGATCTATCTATCTATCTATCTATCTATATATCTATCGATCTATCTATATATCTATCGATCCATCTATCTATCTATCTATCTATCTATCTATCAATCTATCTATCTATCTATCGATCTATCTATCTATCGATCTATCTATATATCTATCTATCGATCCATCTATCTATCTATCTATCTATCTATCTATCGATCGATGGATCTATATATCTATCTATCAATCTATCTATCGATCTATCTATCTATCTATCGATCTATCTATCGATCTATCTATCGATCTATCTATCGATCTATCTATCGATCTATCTATCGATCTATCGATCTATCTATCTATCTATCGATCTATCTATCTATCCATCTATCTATCTATCTATCTATCTATCTATCTATCTATCTATCGATCTATCTATCGATCTATCTATCTATCTATCGATCTATATATCTATCTATTGATCCATCTATCTATCTATCTATCTATCTATCGATCGATGGATCTATCTATCTATCTATCTATCTATCGATCTATCTATATATCTATCTATCGATCCATCTATCTATCTATCTATCGATCGATGGATCTATCTATCTATCTATCTATCTATCGATCTATCTATCTATCGATCTATCTATCTATCTATCTATCTATCTATCGATCTATCTATCTATCTATCTATCGATCTATCTATATATCTATCTATCGATCCATCTATCTATCTATCTATCGATCGATGGATCTATCTATCTATCTATCTATCTATCTATCTATCTATCAATCTATCTATCTATCTATCGATCTATCGATCTATCTATCTGTCTATCTATCGATCTATATATCTATCTATCAATCCATCTATCTATCTATCTATCTATCTATCGATCGATGGATCTATCTATCTATCCATCTATCTATCGATCTATATATCTATCTATCGATCTATCGATCGATCTATCTATCTATCGATCTATATATCTATCTATCGATCCATCTATCTATCTATCTATCGATCGATGGATCTATCTATCTATCTATCTATCGATCTATCTATCTATCTATCTATCGATCTATCTATCGATCTATCTATCGATCTATCTATCGATCTATATATCTATCTATCGATCCATCTATCTATCTATCTATCGATCGATGGATCTATCTATCGATCCATCTATCTATCTATCTATCGATCGATGGATCTATATCTATCTATCGATCTATCTATCGATCTATCTATCTATCTATCGATCTATCTATCGATCTATCTATCTATCTATCTATCTATCTATCTATCTATCGATCGATGGATCTATATATCTATCTATCGATCTATCTATCGATCTATCTATCGATCTATCTATCTATCTATCTATCTATCTATCTATCTATCGATCTATCTATCGATCTATCTATCGATCTATTTAAATAGTTATTATTTTTATTTTACCTCGTGTAAATCTGTACTGTCCTGTTGCTGCTTTAAACTCCTGAATTTTAATTAAATAAAGGTCCATCTGATCTCATGAATCTGGAACAGCTGTTTGTTTTTCTTCTGCAGTATTTAAATCGTTGGCGCCCTCTGGTGGCGTATTACACTCTGACTGCTGTGTTTGACTGTATGTATATATATGTGTGTGTAATAGTATGTATATTTGTATATATGTATGTGTGTATGTATATGGGTATATGTATGTGTATATCTATACCCATAAACATACACACATTATTAATCTGGTTTACTTGTTGATTGACATATATACATATACAGTATATGCAGGGCCGCCCCTGGCCAACTTGGGGCCCCAAGCAACATTGTGAGATGAGGCCCCCCCCCCCCCCCAACCGACAGGAGTGAAAAATGTTTTTTTGGAAACAAAGTAGGCTACTTTGCAAATATAGTTCCTGTTTATTATTATTATCAACAGTTACTTTTTTATACAGTGAGGTAAATGGTAAATGTGCATGTATGTCGTTCAGTATGCGTTTACAGGTACGTCTGCATTTCCAGCCAAATACTAGCCTCAAAAAGATTAGAATATGATTAATGCAAATAAACTACTTCTACTAATAATAATCAATTCAATTATATAAATACTATATTATTTTATCATAATATAGTTGTAATATAGTCAAGACAAAACATGCTTATGACATGCTCAAAAACTGATATTTCTTAAATCTGTATTCTAGTTCCCTCTGTCAGCAATGCATCAACAACTACACACACATTGCTATCAGTACTTCTCTGTGTTGTGGTTGACATGATGATGACTGTTAGGAGTTAAGGGGAGAGGCTGAGCGTCACCATGATGATGACTGGTAGGAGTTAAGGGGAGAGGCTGAGCGTCACCATGATGATGACTGTTAGGAGTTAAGGGGAGAGGCTGAGCGTCACCATGATGATGACTGTTAGGAGTTAAGGGGAGAGGCTGAGCGTCACCATGATGATGACTGTTAGGAGTTAAGGGGAGAGGCTGAGCGTCACCATGATGATGACTGTTAGGAGTTAAGGGGAGAGGCTGAGCGTCACCATGATGATGACTGTTAGGAGTTAAGGGGAGAGGCTGAGCGTCACCATGATGATGACTGTTAGGAGTTAAGGGGAGAGGCTGAGCGTCACCATGATGATGACTGTTAGGAGTTAAGGGGAGAGGCTGAGCGTCACCATGATGATGACTGTTAGGAGTTAAGGGGAGAGGCTGAGCGTCACCATGATGATGACTGTTAGGAGTTAAGGGGAGAGGCTGAGCGTCACCATGATGATGACTGTTAGGAGTTAAGGGGAGAGGCTGAGCGTCACCATGATGATGACTGTTAGGAGTTAAGGGGAGAGGCTGAGCGTCACCATGATGATGACTGTTAGGAGTTAAGGGGAGAGGCTGAGCGTCACCATGATGATGACTGTTAGGAGTTAAGGGAGAGGCTGAGGTCACCATGATGATGACTGTAGGAGTTAAGGGAGAGGCTGAGCGTCACCATGATGATGACTGTTATGAGTTAAGGGGAGAGGCTGA